AGCATTTCAAGATTAGGCAGAAAAAAACTTTTGTAGAGAGTAGTAAGAAAAGCTCAGGGAATGTCTGTGTTCGATGAGGTGCAGTGTGGGTGCCTGACATTAAGCTTTTGATTGCTGAGGCATCCATTTCAGAGACATCCATCTCAAACATATTGCCACTGCGTGAATCACTTACTACCTAAACAACCAGACAGAAACCAGGCTGCCCCACCCATGGTTTTCCTTTTAGAAAGCCCTAGTAACCTAGAACACTGACCCTACTTTTCCCTTCTCAGGCCTTAATTCCCACTGTTGTCTTTTAAATTCACCACTACAGAGTGAACCCTTGAAACCCTAGGCCCCCCACCCTTGACCCCAATAAAGACAGAGCTCCAGGTCCACACTCTCTCTACCTATGACCTCAGTGTACGGCCTTTGGAATGCTATGTACCCTCCAGGAACCTGTGAGTAATGAACGTTGTCTTTTCAAAGTTCACTAATGGTTGTTGCTGAAGTGTGTCTTGCGATCATAATAGGAACTACAAGGGCAGGTGGAGGCACAACCTTGGCTTTGGTCAGGAAAATGTCTAGGGGGTCTTACCACAAGTTGTAGGGAGCCCAGTTGAGTGCTCTAGGCGGCCCTAGCCAATAACATCACTATCAGTAGGCTGCAACCTACACAAAACAGGTATGCAATCTACTTTAGTCTGACTTCGGGAGGAAACTCCATTCCTCTGGCTTCCTGAGTCCAAGTAGAGGGAATGTGAGCTGAAGTGCCAGTCCTGACGTCTCTGCACATACACACCCACACACTTTATCTAACAGTGGGTTTGAAAAAAGGAACTGAGCTTCTGTGGCTCATACCCTTTTTCTCTCCCTTTGGGAGTCTGTTGGAGCCCAGAGAGAGGGTATTTTGATCAGCTGAGGCCAGGCAGTAATCACCCAGAGGAGCCTTCTGGTTGACCAGCTGTGCTGTGCCCATAGGTTTAGCAAATTCAGGGGTGAAATCATCAAAAAGCCCACTGGGTCCTCGAAGTGAAGCCACATGCTCCAATCCTGCTTTTGTCAGTCATAAAGCTGATTAAATGATCTCTGATTCCTATGACTGGTCTTAAACTTGGGAGGGAAATTAAGATACGTCATTTTCTCCAAAGTCCCAATAGTAGACAAAAAGTTCTAGAAGATTATATACCAAACTTTCCGCAATGATTCCCTCTGGGGCCTGGATTAGAAAGAGTTTCACTATCCGTAATGTTAAAATTCTTTACAAGCATGTATTATTTTCTCCACCAGGAAAATTATTTTTAACAACAAAAAGTGTACATTTAAACACAAATATTCATCATCAGGGAATGGATAGCACACTGTGCTATAGCCACACGATGGAATATAGTGGTTCCCTCTAACCCACAGGGGTATGTTCTAAGACCCCCAGGAGGTGCCTGAAACTACAAATAGTACTGAACCCTATATATACTGTTTTTTCCTGTATATACATGCCATGCTAAAGTTTAATTTATCAATTAGGCACATTAATAAATTAACAACAATTAACTTATAATAAAATAGAACAATTATAACAATATACTGTAGTAAGTTATGTGAATGTAGTATTTCTCTCTCAAAATATCTTATTGACCCTCATCAGTGTGGCTCAGTGGTTAGAGTATTGGCCTGAGCACCAAAGGGTTGTGGGTTTGATTCCTGGTCAAGAGCACATACCTGGGTTGCAGGCTCAATCCCCAGCCCAGTGGGGGCAACCGATCTCTCTCTCTCTCTCTCTCTCCCCGCCTTCCACTCTCTCCAGAGACTGTGGGAAAAATATCCTCGGGTGAGAATTAACAATATATATACATAATTATACTGACTTCACCCTTTTCTGTGATGATGTGAGATGATAAAGTGCCTACATGATGAGATGAAGTGAGGTAAATGACATTTGCTCTGTGACATAATTTAAGCAACTACTGACCTTCTGAGGATAAGTCAGGAGGAGGACCATCTGGTTCAGGTGAACCTGGAACACTGAGACATGATGACCTCAATAGTTGAATGTCAGGAGCAGATGATGTCAATGGTTGGAGAAATTGAATATTTTCAGACTGTGGTTGACCTCAGGTAACTCTATGGAGGAGCAGGGACACTACTACTCAGAAGAAACTATTGATCCCTACTGCAACCCGTATGAGTCTCAAAATCACTATGCCAAGTGAAAAACAAGATTGGTCCCCCTATGCACAAAAAATATATACTCTATGACTCATTCACATAAAATGTTTAGAAAAGCAAAATATTTAGTGACAGAAAACAGATTAGTGAGCCCGGCCCGGTAGCTCAGTTGGTTAGAGCATCATTCGAATACACCAAGATTGTGGGTTCAGTCCCTGGTCAGGGCACATATAAGAATCAACCAATGAATGCATAAATAAGTGGAGCGACAAATCTCCCGCTCTCTCTTTGTCTCTCTCTCAAATAAATTTTCTAAAAAGTTTTTAAAAAGCAGATTAGTGGTTGCCTGGGGACATAGGTAGAGGGAGGGAGAGTTACCAGGGCCCACAGGAAATTTGGGAGGATAATGGATATGTTTGTCATCTTGATTGTGGCAATGGTTTCATGAGTTTATATATATGGCAAACGTCATAAAATTATTCAAATATGTACAGTTTATTATACGTTAATTATGCCTCAATAAAGCTGTAAAAATAGCTTATATGTCTAGTTTTTAGTTAATGGGCACAGTTACTGAGCCGTCCTTTCAGATGCTGTTACATGTCAACGAGATAACTTCGCACAATGGTTAAGATTGTGGAATAAGATTCCTTGAGTTCTGCTATTTTAACAGCTGTGTCACTTTGGGTAACTTTTCCGTTTCTGTTTCTTCCTCTGTACCTTCCTCGTTGGGCTGCCTGTAGGAGCCCATGCGTGACGGACTAACCACAGTTCCTGACATAAAATAAACAATAAATGTCAGCTATTATGATTGTCCTTAACTTTTATTGGAGGGAGTATTAATCATGGTTTTTAAATTTCCTATATTTTATGATGCTTTGACATCTTAGGGCCTTGCAAACCTGGGGAAGGATCACCCCTCCAAGGGTCAGGTAATTGCTAGAGGCAGCAAACAACTTGCCTTTGAGCACACCTTTAAAATGCAAACCAACCAACTCAACCACCTCCTTTAACTCTCCCACTCTAAACCAATCTGCCCTCTGCCCTAAATCACCCCAGGACCAGGTAACACACAAGGGACCACCCCAGGACCACTGCAGTTATTCAAACTAGCCAATTCTAAGCTTGCTCAGCTTGCCTACCCTGCCTTGCCCATTCCTTCCCACAAAAGTCATAATAAAGGCTCTGCCATGCTTTCCCCTCAGTCTGACCAATTCTGGTGCTCCTCCCGTGTGGCCCTGTGTGGCATGGTGTGCCCCCTTCTTTTGGGAATTGTATGTAATAAACTCATTTTTCAAAGACAGTTTTCTTCCTGTCTGTCACTATCCTTGATTGAAACAAATTCCAGGTGTTTTTGTGTGTGTGGTGTTTTCTTTTTTTGGTGGTAATGGTGGGTTGGTTCGGGAAGGCTAGAGTATAAGTGCAAACGGGACTCTAGTAGATTTCAGATGTTGCATTACATGCTTAAATAAGTAATTTCACTATTTCCCACGGGAGGGTATTCTTAAACCTGCAGACTCTTATCTGGGAGAAGGCAATGGTTAGGGGTGGGGGATCCAAAGAGGGGAAGAGCTCTGTCTGATGTCCCATAACCCCACCACTCCTGAAAGCTAAGCCAGGGAAGGGATCCCTAAGGCAGAGTCCTCTAGAAGAGAGACCTCTCACCAGTGCTGTGCTCATGGCAGCTCAGGAGAACCAATTTCTAAACTTTCAGGAATTTTGTGAATCAGTTGTTAAACTGTTGGCAGCTTGAAACCAGCCATGATGACAGTATTTATACCACAGAAGTCTGCATACTCTACAAATGCTACAAATCAGGACTTCCCAACCACCACCTGCTAACACTGTCTGTTAAACGTTTACATGTGTGCCACTGCCTTGAATTTCACATCTGCTTCTCCATTTCTACTGGAAAGGCAGAGTGAAAGGAAGCTTTTTCCCCTGGAGCTGCTCCAGGTGGGGCATCTGCAGTCCACCTCCAGGACCAGCAGGGCTCAGCCCAGGACTGGTGTTGACCTTCCCATCATACTCCCCGCAATGGACCCCAGATCTCCAGACATACCTCATTTCCCTGCCTGACACTTCTCCAGTCCCCCATGCCTCAGCCTGGATCAACCTAGTCGTGTCGTTCCCCCCCACCCCCCCCGGGCCAAGCTGGAACTGCCAGGTTTGTCACAGTGTGGGACCAGTAGACCCGAACCATGGCCAATAAGGAACCAAGAGTACCCAGCTCAGCCCCTTTTCTCTCCCCTACTCTCCCCTAGCTCTGCCCACCACAGAGCAGGCACACCAGCTGATGGGGCAGGTGGTGAGCCCACAGAGCTCTCCTACCCAGCTCAGATCAGAAGTAACGCTCACCTTGCGGGTTGGTGCCCATGATCACTATGTCTGCCACCTGCACCTTTCAAGTGGTTCAGACTCAAAACGCAGGAAGAAGAGCCCCTAAAACCTGAGCCATCTGTGAGGCCCTGTCCAACCTCACCCCTTCACTCCCTATTGCTCACCCCTTGTTCCCCCAACCACACAGACCTTTGCTTGGTTCCTGGAAAATGCCAAGGTCACTCCCAGCTCAGCATCTTTGCTTTTCCACCTTCCCCAGCACTTCCCAGGGCTGGTTCGTCCTCTCCTCTCATGTCTTGGCTCAGACCTGCTCTACGAAACCTGCACCTCCATCAAGTGACCCTGGCTTATTGTCTCCATTTCTGAAACGGTTCCATGGATGTGCTCGCCTGTTTATCACCCTGTTTTCTCAGGTCTTGTGCATTTGGTTCACTGATATAACCCGGCACCTAGGACAGTGCCTGCAAAATTGCAGGGGCTTAGAAATGTTTGTCCAATGAATAAACTGAATGTTTTGAAAAAATGAGTAATTTTCTTTAATAGCAAAATAATATAGATTGTGGAAAACTTGGGAAATATAAAAAAATAGTTTAGAACTTTCATTATTTTGATCACCAAAGACAAGTCACACCTGTACTTTCTGTGTCTCCTCCACTCATGTAGGAAAATTAGTGGTGTAGGTGTGATGGTGCACATGTAGACAGCTCTTCCAGGGGCCCTGGCTCCTCAGGTCCCCCTACCTCCTAACCACACCCTTCTGCATCCATCCTGTTCCTGAGGACTGCCCTGAGAATGACCCTTCATTGAGGACCTTCTTGGGTTGGGTCAAGTATAAGGCTTTGCAACATAACCATGAGGTAAATGTAGTCTTCCCCATTTCCAGATCTGGGGACCAGCTGGCTGATGTCACAGAATCCATACAACTGACAAACAATTCCCATTGTCTGGCGGTGCCAAGGCCTCATTTCTCTCTATCTTTGGCCTTTAGGCCCCTCTAGCCTAATTACCTGCCATCTGCAAGGTGCTGCTCAGATGGCTTGCTCGTTAATGAAAACTGAGATGGCTCTTAGAGACAGGTGGTGAATCATATCCACCAATCCATAGACTCTTTGGGGCAGGCCCTGATGATGACCAGACAGTGGGGCAAGCCCTGGCACAGGATCCTCTCTACCTCCTGACCGTCCCACTCTAGCCCCTGCAGCTCAAGGACCCTAAGCTTGGGCATGGTGAGGCAGCAGGAGATTATTTCAGCCAGGGAAAGCATTTCCAGGGTGATGTGCGGGGCCTGCAGGCACAGACTCTCCAGGGCTGGCATTCCCTCCAGGGCAGATAGGCCACGGGCAGAGAGCCCCGTGATGGTCAGCCGGATCTTCCGCACATCTCGGAGGTGGCGGCTGATGGCCAGGAGGGTGCTGTCCGCTGAGAAGGTACAACCCAGCACCTCCAGCCTCTGCAGATAGCTCAGCTCCTGCAGGCTTGCATCCAGCCCAGTCTCAGTCACCCGGTAGGTGCCACCCAGCACCAGTGAACGCAGGGATTGGAAGTGTGTCAGGCCCTGTAGGTGCTCATCCCGAAAGGCAGGGACACGGTCCAGCACGATGCACTCGAGCAGGGGCAGCACAGTGGGGTACTGCCCCTTGAGGAGCCAGGCCATGGAAATTTCACAGCTATGCAGCTCCAGGGTCCTCAGGGTGGAAGGCAGGCTGGTGATTGGCACCATGCTGAGGTCAGCACCATGCAGGCAGAGACGCTGGAGGTTGGGGCACTTCTGGCCCAGGGCCCTCATCAGGGCTGGAGACAATTGGGGAGTCTGGGAACCTGAAGACAGGTAGCCACCCAGCCGCAGGGAATGGAGTCTGGATGCCATGTACCGGCGTAGGAGGTGCCACATGATTTTAGGCCGCATCTGTAAGAACCAAAGATAGGGGTGACTAGGTGAGATACACAGGGGATCTTTCAAGGTCCCCACCTGTCTGAAGTCAGGCAAGCCCCAGGGGAGGTTCTGCTGCTCCCCTGGAATTGTCCTTCCATCTCCAGCCTCACCAGACAGGACACCTCTCTGGGAGTAACAAAAGTTTAACCCCACCACTCTGACTCCCAGATTTGAACAAAAGCAAGGAAAGAGATCATAACAGATCTGTCTTTAGCAACAGAGTGGATTCTCATTATGTTCTGGAGTAAGTAAGAAAGCAAAGCAGTCCACTCGGGTTTTTATTCCTTTGTTAATGACCACCGTGGAAAGAAATAAGCAGTGTAAAAGAAAACTGAAAAAGGCTAAAACTGCCCAGGGTACATTAGATGTAGGCTTTAAAAAAAAATCACAGCCTGGTAAGAGCGAAAGCTGTCAAAAATTAACCCTAGGAAGTTAGACTTAGTAGAAAACAAACAACTGATAGCACTGTGCATTTCACTGCATGTACATTTTCACTAAAAAAACAAAAACAAAACCCACACACAGATTTCAGAAGCAAGGCTGCCTTGTACTCCAACTTGATTTAATTGACTGTGGTTTTCAGTTCTTTTCCAGGTACATTTTCACATGTCCTGATTTTTCTCTTTGTTTTGTGTCTCGGTGGATTTAGAGGAGGTTTTGTGTATGTGCGGGTCGCAGAGAAGCAGGTCAGCGACGCGGCCAGGACGCGCCCCGTCTGCCTTGGCTCGGAATCCGGCTGGGAAGGCGGGTCCTGGAGGTCCGGCCGCGAGCGCGGCCCAGGCGCGCCCGGCCCAGCGCACTTACCCGGCAGACGGTCAGGTCCACGTGTCGCCACAGCCACCGGTCGTCCACCAGCCTCTTCCAACGGCGACAGACCCTGAGGAGGGAGACCGCGGTTAGAACAACCCCGACCCTGCCCGGCCCTTGGCCCCCCACCCCGCCCCCACCGTGGGGCGAGACCGCACCTGGAGAGGCGAATCCGGTCCCGCACCGGGAGGTAAGAGAAGATCTCCAGTACGAGCGAGTCCGGCAGGTCCGAAAGAGCGGCCATGATCCGCCGACACGCATGTCCACTGTGGCTAAAGGGACTCCCGGGCTTGCCCTGGCAGCGCCCCAGGAGGCGGGGGTAGTGGGGGTGCCAGCAGGGAGGTAGCCACGGCCTCCGGTAGCCGGTGGAGAGTTTCAGCTTTCGGTCTGAGGGAGCGCGGCCGGATCCCCGCCGCAGACCCGGCTCTGACGCGCAGAAAGCCGCAGCAAACCAGAACTAAGTTCGGAGGGCGTGGCTGGGGCGGTGACGCAGGGGGCGTGGCTGGGGCGGTGACGATACAGGGGGCGTGGTTAGGGCGGTGATGGCGCAAGAGGCGTGGCTGGGGCAGAG